AATTCCATACGTCCATGCTGTGGTTCTCACTCCCTATCTTCAGCGACTTACTTTCTCTGAGTTGATTCACTATCTAGGTGGTTAGCCTCTGGCTGGTCAGTGGTATCAGTAGAATTTGCTGATCCTTCCTCTTCATATTTACAACAGTATTATCAAAGGTTATTTTTATTTTTTCTTCCCCTGTGATGTGGGCATCCCTGGCAAGTCCAGCTTTTGGTGCTCATCCTCTAATTGTCCTTGAATGGAATGGCTGCTAAACTATTTCAGAAAGCAGTTGAGAGACCCCCCACATGATTGGTCTGGAGTTCTGTGTATGATAGTCCAGGTAAATACATTAGAATTACATCCCTAAAGGGCATTAATGAACCAGAATTTTTTAGTAAAATGACCATTGATGATGGTAACCATGAAACTATTACTGAGACTGGTTTTCAATTCCTGGAATTATTAATTTAATTTTAAAGCCTATTAGTTGCTATGGTGAGATTTGAACTTGTGGTCGCACAGCAAGAGGTATGTATCACCACACCACAGTCTTCTCCTAGTTATGTTGATAGTTAGATGAAGTAAGATGGGAAGAGATTTTGCTGAAACATAAAAGCACAAGTATAGGCCTGTGTTGTAAATTACATTCCCGCAACAGTTGAAACATACCAGCAGTTCACCCTTTATGCCAAAACATCAAGTTTATTGAAGCACTATTTAAGATGAATAACATTGGGGTTAGTAACAAAAGATATCAATCTCACAGGAGGAGCTGCTTTCCTTAATATTACACAAGGAATTCTGCATTCTTGAGCACAGTCAGGCCACCATAAAGCAGGACTCCACCACCAGTGTGTTACCCAGGTAGGTCCTGAGGCTTCTGTCATGGGATGTAACTGAAGCTGATTCTGCAGTGGCCAGAAATCTAGCATTGTTGTGACGATTATGTGGGAATGGATATTCTTGCCTTGCATCTTTGAGTAAGTCACATGTGGCATCATGTGGATTACTACCTCAAACGAAAGTGACATTGGGTTTGTGCTGGGACATACTCCAACAAAGCATAAATTTTGGAATTGGTATAGTCGTATGATTGACCATTGACTTTGCAGCATGGGAGTCAAACAAATGACTGACCATTATGTATTCTCTGGTGGTGCTCCTATGATCTAGAGACGAGATGTCACATTGTAAGCACTTTTATTCCACTCGTATCCCTACCTTTATAGAGTTATTAGTAAAATATTTCAGATAATTGTTCCTAAGTAGACAGCTGTGTAAAAACAAAATGTGAAAATGTGCTTATGGCATGTGCTGGAAATCGCCCAACATTTATTCCAAGAGTTTGAGAGAGAGAAAAACATTTGCATTCCGTTAGTTTTGAGAGCTCTGTTTCCATGAAAACATTAAGAGATTACATGAAGTGGCGAAGTTACTAAAACTTTATGAAATTATGGAGCTTAATTGTCTTTAATCAGGAATAAATCAATCTGTACGGCTCCAAAAAAGGAAAATACTTAAACTGGAGATAGGGACTTGGAGAAGAACTGACTCGGATGCTGTAAAGTGGAAAGTAGTCCCTGCTGCCTTGCTCATCAGTATGTGTAAAGACTCAACTACCTTGGGTGAATTGACCCCTCATATTTTAGCTGCAACCTGCATAAGGTGAATTCTATCTATCAAAATTATATCAGTTAATGCATTCATACCATCACCATTTTCTCCCTGTTTCTTTCCAACTTAAATGCCTTTCTCTTACAGATTTATTTTTTGTTCTTTCACAGTTTATTTTTCCTGCACAGCTAGCTCTATAATTTGTCTTGTGTAGTACTATTGCAGTTTTCATTGGTGGTGGTGAAAGTCTGCACTACCAGATGTTCACTGTCACCATGAATGCTACTAAATTTACCTCAAGATCACTGGGGAAGAGATTCACCCAGATTTAATGACACATTTATCTGCCACATTCCCATTTCCCTCACAACTACATTTCCTTCATTCATCTATCCAACCCAGCCTTGAATGTTGAGGTTGAAAGAGACTTCCACAGCCTCAAGTTTGTGTGTGTGTGTTTAGGGTTTTGTCTTGCCCTTCATTCTAAATCTCTTGCATTTAATTTTCTATCTATTGTCTTTCATTCTTGGCTCTCAACGGATAGAAACAGCAGGTCGAGTTTACTGTTCATGCCAGGGGTTAGTTGACAGCTGTGCATTTATCAGCCTGAAGGGTGGTGTGTGGGCACACTGGTACTTTATCATCTCTGTCCTGATTATATCAAGTGCAGGAAGACCCCTGGATGGCCTTTCTGCTTTGCCACTAATTGAGTCCCTTAACTGGGCAATTATTGCTCAAGGCCTGATCAAGGGACCTGGAATTGGGGGGTTGGAGGGTCTTATACTCAGAGTCTCTCACTAGCCTTGCTGCCAGCGAGCTCCATCCCACTACCACTTACCTGTGATCTTGGGTGTTGGATGTGTGCATTACCAGCAGTACCCGTGCTCAAGAACTATCAGTCTTTAATTGGCTGGCTGCTCTCAGAAATGGGAATTCTACCCAGACAAAGTGGTCTTGGAGCTCTGGAGAAGGCCTGCTGCTGTCCTGTTCTGTGTTTGTTCTGTGATAGACACTTAATTCAGCAGGCCTTCACGAAAGGGAGCAATGTGGGACTTCTGCTGGCTTTCCCATCGACAAGCGAAACCCCTATCACCTTCATTTGTATGCTGCCCACCTACCTATGTTTCCATCTTCCCAGCCTCATCTTTTCATATCACATTTTGCGAATGTTAAGGTGAATAGTTTACAGTCCACAGTTGTTTTATAACATTTTTGGGCAACATCTGAAACAATGGAGTACCAGACACAATGCAAGCAATAAAACAATAGGAACTATTTCATTGTGCTCGTGGTTGTGAACTGGTATGGAAATAAACAAAATAAAACACTGCACACAGCCATACAGTACTTTTTGTTTATATCTAGTAACTGCCCTTGACATTAAGGCGGAATTTGACTGTTTGGCATCCAGAAGCCCTCACAAACCTGAAGTTGGTGGGAATTGGGAAACCCCCAGTGAATCATAGAATCCCGACAGTGTGGAAACAGGCCCTTCGGCCCAACAAGTCCACGCTGACCCTCAGAGCACCCACCCAAACCCATTCACCTATAACCCACCTAATCTACACATCCCTGAACACTACGGGCAATTTAGCATGGCCAGTCCACCTAGCCTGCACATCTTTGGACTGTGGGAGGGAACCAGAGCACCCGGAGGAAACCCACACAGACACACGGAGAATGTGCAAACTTCACACTGACAGTCGCTCGAGGCTGGAATTGAACCCGGGTCCCTGGTGCTGTGAGGCAGCAATGCTAACCACTGAGCCACCGTGCTGCCCCATGTTTGGAGTCTCACTGCCCTCCAATGGAAGTACCTGAGAATGTTAGAGAACAATCATCTCAGTCCCAGGATATTACTGCAGGAGTAGCTCAGGGCGTTCTCCTGCGCCCAGCCGTCTTCGTCAATGACCTTTCCTCCATCATAAGGTCAGAACTGGGGATGTTCGCTGATGAATGTGTGTGGCTCAACATCATTTACGACTCTCCAGCTGAAGCAGCCCTTATCCATGTCTAGAAAACCTGGACAACACACACACACTTGCAGTGCAAAGGCATACATGGCTTTGGGCCAAGCGCTGAAAAATGGGATTAGAACAGTTAGGTGCTTGTTTTTGACCGGTGCAGATTCAGTGGTCCTTTTTCTGTGCTGGAGATCTCTATGACTCTACTTGTCATTTGCCAGCCCAAGTCAATGTTCAAGCCATATAATTGCCAGAAAATGACCATCTCCAACAAAATAACCTAATCTCCTCCCCATGATATTTAATGGCTTCAACATTGCTGAATGGCCCCTATCAAAATTCTGAATGCTCCTATCAAAATCCTGCTATTTACTAGGAACTAAACTTAACCAGTCGTATGTAAATACTGTGGCACAAGTAGGTCAGGCTAGGAATTCTGCAGCAAGTAACTGATCTGTTGTTTCCCCAGTGCCTTTCTGGCATCCATAAGGCACAAGTGAGAAGTGTGATGGAATACTTTCCACTTGTTTGGACGAATTCAGCTCCAAAAGCACTCAAAAATCTCCGTATTATCCAGGAAAAAACAATTTGCTTGTTTAACAACCCATCCATCACCTTAAAATGTTCATTCCGTCTTCCATTGCTCAGCAGTAGTGGTATGTACTATCCACAAGATGCATTCTCAATGACTGACCAAGGCTTCTTTGACAGCACTTTCCAAATCCATGACCTCTAATGCCTAGGAGGCCAAGAGCTGCACATGCATGGGAGCACTACCACCTGCAAGTTTTCCTTCATGCCAGGCACCATCCTGACTTGGAACCATATCACTGTACCTTCACTGCTGGATCAAAATCATGAAACTCCTTTCTTCACACCACTGTGGCCATCTCCACTTGGCTTGGACTGCAGCATTTCAAGAAGGCAGCTCACCATCACCTTCTTGAGGCCAGTTGGGAGTCAGCTATAAATGCTGACAGCCAGCGAACCCCACATGCTGTCAATGATTAAAAAGTACTCTATCGTTTTATTGAGGTCTAATGTAAGCACTTGGTTTTTCAATTGTACCCCACTTAAAAAAAAAACAAAAATCTGGAATTCTATTAGCTTCATGAGCAGCCTTAACAATTTGAGCCTCTGTCTCCGAAGTAGTGAGCCTGTAGATCACTTTGCCCGTGCTGTTGCACATCACCAAACCTGCTTCATTCAGTATATTTATTGCTGTTATACATTTTTTTAAAAGATAGCATGTTTACTAACTTTGTAAAATATTTCTTTCCAATTGGCCATTGATAGCACTGTACTATGTAGATAAAGGTGAAAGTTAATGCACAATGTCTGAACTTTGCTTCCTGGATTTCTAAATTGAGAACAAGTTGTTCCATTGCTTAGAAACAAAGGATCAGTCAGATGGTCATGAATATTTTTGTGTTTCAGACTTTTACTGCTTGGTGCAATTCGCATTTGCGGAAAGCTGGTACACAAATTGAAAACATTGAAGATGACTTCCGAAATGGACTTAAACTTATGCTGCTTTTGGAAGTTATTTCAGGTAATTTTAAGCCAACTACTTTAACTATTGGTATCATAAAAGACAAAGGATGAGTAACTCAGTTTAGAAGTAAACTCATGCCCCTTTGGTGTGGTGTTACAGGGACAGGGAAGTTAAAGGTTTTATTCTTGGTTTGTAAGAGTTCATTTAACTTAGCCAAGTGGCCAATCTGTCGTTATAATTGACTTCTGTTCCCCTCTGCATGGGAAGGAGATAATCAGCCAAGACTCCAACCTATTCAATGGATGTTTAGCAGAAGTCTGTTGACATTGAATGGTATTAATAACTTTTGCCCCATGCAGTTGAACAGGCTGCCATCATTCAAAGTTCACAAACAACTAGTGGTTCCTTGAATGAGATCCAAAAACTTGGTTCCTCTGATAGAAAATTGAAGGAGAGAAGTGGTCTCTCTTCTATGTGATTTTAAAAAAAGTCTTAAAGTGAAGCTCTGTTCCTTTTTTCTTGTCAATAATATTGTGTCAGTTGCTCTTCCATTGGGAAAGTTTTTGTTGAGTTCTTTCTGTTTGAGTTTATTGGTTATGTTTGCGGGTACAATTTAATTGTTTTATGTTTGCTGACGTTACTGAATTGAATAAGTCAAATTCCTTGTTTCTCCTTGTCAGTTTTTTCGTGTTTCAGTCAAACAGAAGTTTATAAAGTCCAGTATAATCCAACAGTTGCTTAGAAATTCTCGTCTTGGTTGCATTGCTTCTACAAATGATCTTCATATTCTATTAACATTCACTGTATTTACATACCCAAATTTGTTTATTTTTTCCATTATTTGGTTCACTAACCTTTTGTGTAATCTAACTTCTTCAAAAGTTGTCATTTCTGATCTTCTGCCAAAATATGTCAGGTTTATAACTTGGGCAAGTAACAGCTAACACAAACAATCTTCATTCACTTGATGTCCTAAAGTATTGTATTTCATGATCAAACATTATAATGGGATGAATAAATTCAGATAGGAGAACCAAAGCAGGAAAGGAGAAGGATTCGTGGGAACAGAGGAATCGGAGTGGGCCAATCAGCCCACTAACCCTGCTCCACCAATTAGATCATGTGACCCCAGCTTTTATCTGACAATACTGCTACACAAGTCAAATCCCAGACTGAAATCTGGTTTGACAGATTGTTTTAAATTTTAAGTAATGTGTTGGTCAGTCACTGGAACATAGTCACATGAGGCTGCAGAATTTCTTTAACAGCAAAACTAATTTATTAGACTAAATAAATAAGCCAAGCTATGACATCGAGAATACTGTTTAGAAAAATAAAATAAAACACAGCAAAATAAAGTTTTCAACCCTCTTCTAAATACCATCAAATTACAGAGATTCAAATCCACAGAAAGTACAGCCAATTTCTCAACTCCTTCAGTTCTACTGAACTGATTCCTGACAGTTTATTTGCCATTCCCGTTTTCATGGTTTAGGAGTTTCATAAATTAAATGTTTCTACTGAGGTAACTGTACTTTCCCTGAACTGTTCTATATTCCTGTAAAGAGAGAAAACTAGACTTGCTTCTGTCCCCATCAGGTCTCGTGTAAACTTCCCTAAAAATGTTGAATCTGTGGGTTTTCCAAATTAAAATCTATCCTTGGTTGTTCTAAATTGAAAACAAGCTTTTGACCTTCAATGTTTACTCTACCTGTCATAACACTCCAGGATTTCATAGTTACCTGCTCGCTGATATATACTGAAATAGATCACTGTTCCAGGACACTGACGTTTCCTTGGTGAAGAAATTCCTCCTGATCTCAGTCTGAAATACCTCGTATCCTGAGACTGTGTTCTTTGGTTTATGACTCACCAGTAAGGAGAAATATCTTATTTGCATCTATCCATCCTGCCATGCCCTGCAAGAATTTTGTAAGCCTCAATGAGGACAACAGTTATTCTTCAAAACACTAGAGAATACAGGCAAGTTTTCTCAATATCTCCTTGTAAAATTATCCTGCCAACCCAGGGATTATTCTAGTGATTAATGAGAGTGATCCATTCTACTCCCTCCATAGAAAGCGTATCCCTGCTTAGATGAGGAGACCACGGCTGTACCCAAGTGAGGTCTCATCAAAACTCTATATAAATGCAACAAAACAACTCTACATCTGTACTCTCATCCCTATGCAATGAAAGCCAACATACCTTGTGCCTTCCAAATATATTGTTAGACTTAATGCTAATTTGTGGTAGCTTATATTTGAATAGAAACATCTGGGTCCCTTTGGCCTCCTGCGTGTTCTAATCTCTCACCAAATAAATAAATATGCTTTTTTTGAAATGTGAATGTGAATAAAATAAAATGTCAATGTGAATGACCTCACACTTATTCATGTTATTCCACCTGCCATTCTAGCCCATGCAGGTAGCTTGTCCAAATCCTCTTAAAGCCTGTTGTATCCTCCTCACAACCCATGCTCCAACCCAATTCCTAAAATTCATGATGAAATCATTATAATTGGTGCCACAGCTAAACAATTTATTTTTGAAAGAAAATTGAACAGCTGTGGACTTAGCACTGAGCCTTGTGGTAGTCCGCTAGCAATAGTCTGCCATCCTTAGAATAATCTGTTTATTCCAACTCTCTGCTTTCTGTCTGTTAACCAATTATCAATCAATACTCATATATTTCCCTCAATTTCATGCAACTTAATTTCATTTACTAATCTATTGTATGGGACCTTATCAAAAGCCTTCTGAAAATCCAAATACATTGTGACCCACTGGTTCTCGTTTATCAATGCTACTAGGAATATCGTTAAAAGAAACTCCAAGTTTCTCAAACATTATTTCATTTTCAAAAATTCTGTTAATGTTGTCCAATTTTACCATTCTTTCCTATGTCCAGTTATCACATTCTTTATAATAGATTCAAACACTTTTCCTACCACTGTTTTGAAACTTACAAGTTTGCAGTTCTCCAATCTCCTCCTCCATCCCTTCTAAAATAGTGGGATTACATTTGCTACTCTCCACAATCTGTAGAATTTTGGAAGATAACCGTCAAACATCCATTATTTCCCTAACTACCTCCTTAAACACTCTGAAACAAAACCGATCTGGTCCAGTAGATTTATCCATCTTTAAGCTGGTTAACTTTCAAGTATTATCTCCTTGGCTAATACCAGTTCCTCAGTTTTACAGGTCTTTTAGCTGTCTGGTATGTCAGGAAGATTTCTACATCTTCTTTTGCAAAGATGGATGCGAAGTAACTTTTTAGAATCTCTGCCATTTCCTGACCTATAATTGTCCCAATTTATCCTAACTCATCTTTTCCTTTTCCTAAAGCTTTTAAAATCATCACTAGTTTGCTAGTCATATTGTCTTTCTGAATCAGTTTCTTTGTCATTTTTTTTGAGTTCAATATTGCTCCCAATATTGGTTTTACTATTTTTTTTCTGGCATCCTAATAAGCCACTTCCTTTGATTGGATGTAACCTTTAACTTCTTTCATTGAACATTGTTGATTTACCTTTCCCTTTGGGTGTTTGTGCCCTGGAGGAAAGTATGTGTTGTAGACTCTGGTATTTTTTCAAACAGTAGCCTTTGCCTGTCCACTGTTTGAGTGCATTTTCCCCAATCCATCATAGTCAACTTGCCTCTTGTGATTTCCATTCTTCAGATTTAATACTCTAATATCAGAATAGGTTATGTCATGTTCAAATTCTACTATATTATGATTGAAATGAATTAATTTTTTTAATACATTTCTTTCTCTGTAAAGGTGAGCGACTGCCAAAGCCAGATCAGGGCAAGATGCGTTTCCATAAAATTGCAAATGTTAACAAAGCATTGGATTACATTTCCAGCAAAGGAGTAAAGCTTGTATCAATTGGTGCTGAAGGTAATGTGATCTGAAATGTTTGTGTTGTGAAATAAAACTGAGGCTGTGAAATAATAAGGGACTGCAAGATGCTGATCAGGAAATTTGTTTTTAAACTTAGGTCCCCAAAAAAATACTGTCCTCTCTGTTCTATCCCACCCCCCACCAACTCCAGAATTTAATCTTTTCTCTCCCAAGACCAACCCTGCTAGCTGGTTCAAAGTAGACTCCAGTCAATTTCCTGCCTGATAACAAGGTTCAGCCATTTTGGTATCTACATCTCACAACAATTTGTAAGTAATGTCCAAAGGCACATTTTGCTTGGGCCTCAGGCTGGCTGGGTGCCAGACTGCAGTGCCATTACTTTATCAACTTCCCATTTATTTTGGGTGCAATTTGAATTTTTCAACCAACACCTCAATTTGCCTACAGAAGACTCGGCTCAAAGAAAAAACAAGCTAGCAATTTGATTTTAACATTGCAAGACCATCTGGACCTGTTGAGTTGGCCATAGAAAGACTTTTATTCCATATTTGTTTCTTTTTCTGAATACAGAAGATGCTCCCTTGTCTTGCCATTCAAACTTGATGAACAATTGTGATGAGCTTTCAGAATCTGGATGAAGATCAACAGCTGTTCAATTATGGATTTTTTTTGGTTATAAAAGGATTACATTTATATCAGGCTTGGATATTGCAATAATAGTCTTCTCAACTGTTTTATTTCTACTTCTTCTATGTAGAAATAGTAGATGGGAATGTGAAGATGACTTTGGGTATGATTTGGACCATCATCCTTCGTTTTGCGATTCATGACATATCTGTGGAGGGTAAGTGAAATGAGTTTGTCAGTTCAGTCCAATGCAATTGATTCAACAAGGACTTAAGTTTCCAGGGGAACTCTGGACAGTGATTAACACATTAGGTGTAGATTTGCATCAACTAGACTCCTAAGTTCCTGTGAAACTCCCAGAGATAGTATGTGTCTCTGGCGATAGTGTCAAATGAGTGGTTTTGTGTCAGCTGTCTGTACTTGCAGAACTGAATATCAGGTATTACATATAATTGTTGGCTGATCCAATGCCACCAGTTTTGCACCACCACTCAAGATGAATTTCTAAATCCCCCGACTCCCACACTAGTTACATATGCATTTCAGCAACATCCATCGTTATTGTTTTGGTCAGAGTTTTGCTTGGTTAACCTCTAGCACTTGTCATGTGACTTCCTTGATTACTTGTTGGAATTTGCAGTTGTGCTGAGCTGTAAAACTGGTGCTAGTAGAGTGGCTGCCATTTATACACCCTGCCCAATATTTCCTTTCCATTGATTTCACGAATATAATGACAGCCAGGTTGTTGGCTTCCTCCAAACTAGTCTGGGAATGCACCTTTATCATAAAAATCTGAATTTATGGCCCATTAGCATTTCACAAAAGGTGGTGGGCCAGCAAACAGACACCAAGACTTGAAGGGAAAGGTCAGGAGATGCCTGAAATAGGATTGAAAAGATAAATCTTAAAACCTCTTTCTATGGAGGAGTAAAAGATAAGGGTACGAGGGATGGTGCATGTTCAAGTAGCCTCCTGGAGAGACTGGTTTAAAAGAGAACTGACTTTAGTGTTTATTGTAACTGACTCTGTGGCAGTCAGGATTTGCACAACTGATTTGCAGACCACATCAGTAGTGCAATGGGATGCTAAATTTTGCATCTGACTGGCATATTACTACCAGGTTCAAATGAGCTGAACTGGGATTTTGTCTGCAGTGTAAAAATTAAGTAAACAGGGAAGTATTAGAGGTTGACCAAATGAAACTGTGATCAACACAATAACAATGGATTTTGCTGAAATGCATATGTAACTATTGTGGGAGTCAGGGGCAGATAAAAATTCATCTCGAGTGGTGGTGCAAAACTGGTGGCATTGGATCAGTCACCAATTTTATGTAGGGCCCCACATTCAGTTCTGTCAATAACAGACAACTGATACAATACCACTCATTTGACACCATCACCTGATTTAAAATAAGGAAAACTGTGACACAACATTTTTGACCTGACAAGAAAGAATTTTCGAAATGTCTTGTAATTTGCTACGTGAATATTTCTTGCCTGATGGAAAGAAGTTTTGGTGTCGGGTGATTCCATGTCTCAGTCAAAGCTCCAGGGGTTCAGGTTCCACCCTGGGATGTAGTGGCCAAGGAAGTTGTGTTCATAATGGAGCAAGGCAGGTTGTGGTATCTACTTGTAAATCCTGCCAAGCTATGCAGATGACAGGTGGTAATGACAGTGGGAGATGTTTCTGCTCAGCCGTGTATCAGAAAGGAATTGGATATTCTACTATCATCATCCATAGCTCCAGGCTACAGCATGTATGTAAAAACAGCAGCAACTAAGACTTCTTGTAGGACCAGTGGCCAGACAGCTGGTGTAGATCAGACTGGTGCCTACAGCACTGGGTCAATCCAGATTCCGACTGATATTTATTCAGGACCTGCCTCCTTGCCATATTCAAAGTGAAAGTTTTGGCACCGAGTCGGGCATAGCTTCAGGCAAAGTACTCAAGAATTTTAAAATGAAACAAAGAACTGTGGATGCTGGAAATCTGAAACAAAAACAGAAATTGCTAGAGAAACTCAGCAGGTCTGGCAGCATCAGTTGAGAGAAAGCAGGCTTGATGTTCCAGTTCCAGTTCTGAAGGATGATCACTTGAAATGTTAACTCTGCTTTCTGTGCCCAGATACTGCCAGACTGCTGAGTTTCTCCAGCAATTTCCATTTTTGGTAACGGAAGAATTTTGCCTTGTTGATTTAACGTATCTAACTGAACCGTTTTTATTATCTGATGTTGTCACTGTTAATACACATTTGAAATATTGATTTTTTTTTTTTTTCCCCTCTCTTCCCTTACAGAAACATCTGCTAAAGAAGGTTTGCTGTTATGGTGCCAGAGAAAGACTGCTCCCTATAGGAACGTAAATGTGCAGAATTTCCATACAAGGCAAGTTCAGGAGATATACATGCAATTTATATAATGAATGTGTTAAATTTAACGTGGTGTGTGCCAGAGATATACATATAGAATTGTGAGCTGACCATTAGCAATGTTAGGCCCATTATCATAGACTTATGGACTGCAGTTTCCCAATATATATTCTCCTAAACACCAAGAATGTGGAGGTGGTAGAATGGTTGCTTTATTTTTCATGTTATAGTTTCTGTTGTAAACACTGATTATCACTTATTGCAAGGGGAATTGAATATGAAGGTTATACTTCAGTTTTACAGGGCACTGGTGAGACCCCATTTGAAGTACTGTGCACAATATTGGTCACCTTATTTAAGGAAGGATGCAAATGCATAGGAAGCATTTTGAGATGGTTACCAGACTGATGGAATAAGTGAGTTGTGTTTTGAGGAAATGCTGCACATGCCAGGCTTGTATTTGCTGGAAGTTAAAAAAGAAGTGACTTGATTGAAACATGTAAGATCCCGAGAGGTCTTAATGGGTAGAAGTAGAGAGAATGTTTCCTCTTATGGGAGAATCGAGAACTAGGAATTGCTGTTTGAAAATAAAAACATGCTGATTTAAAACAAAGATGAGGCAAAACATTTCTCACAGATGGTATTGAGTTCTTGGAACTCTCTTTTTGAAATGGTTTTGGAAGCAGATAAATAATTTTAAGGCAGAGATAGATCAATAATTGGTAAGCAAAGGGGTGAAGAGTGCAGGGTATGTGCAAACTCAGATTTGAGGTTACAATCAGTTTATCCAGGATCTTGCTGAGCAGGCTTAAGGGGAAAAATAGCCTATTCCTGATGCTTAGTCGTATGGGTTGGATGAGAATACTTCAATTTTAGTTTGCTGCAATACAGCTAAAGTCATACCCCCGTTTAATCAGATAAATTGCATTTAATTGTTTTAATTGCTGAAATTGTTGAATTTGAAATAACCAACTGCAGCTCACTGCAGATTGTTTCGTTAAAGTGATGTCACACTCAAAACATGATCTATGTAGGAGAGTTTGCAGGAATGGAAATGGCATGTTCAGAATCAGTGTTTTTGTCTTGGCTTGTGGCTCCTCCCTTCTGCTTCAAAGAGAAATATGCAGACAGTATCTAATATGAACAGTTTTAAAGTACTTGACAAAACAACCAGAGACCAGATGAGTGTTTTTCAGGCAGCTAGTTATGATCAGGAATGTACTGCCTGAAAGAGTGGTAGAATTTTTAAAAAGTAACTTTCACAAGGGAATTGCTTAATACTTGAAGGGGAAGCATTTGCAGGGGTTTGTAGGGATCTTGATCAATAGCTCTTTCATTGATTTGGCACAGGTACAATAGGCCAAATGTTGTCTTTCTGTGCTGTATCATTTCATAATTCTGGGAACAATGACACATTTAGTCTGCCCATAATTGAATCCGCTGGATATTAAATACTCGCATTAACAATTTTGAAGAATTGAGAAAATTTGAGAAGAATTAACAAAATTGCATGCAAATCTTAGAATTATGGGATTGGACTTGATGGAGGTGATGGTGTCCCACCTACCAGCACTGCAGCCTGTGGGAGCCCTGCCCAGCCTCCTTTTGGGAAGGCCCATCAGATTAAGTGACACTCGGGCACTTGACTGGACAGCAGTGGGTCTTCCACAGGATCAAGGACCCCAGGGACACAATTTACCAACTGCCAAGAGCAGCTATGTAGTCAGATCAGGCACTGCACCTTTGAATGAGTAGTTCCTCACTGCAACCTCCCAGGAGCCAACATGAAACCACGCACAGGTTTTCTTGCCTTGCTCCCCTTGTTGGTGAGCCCCCTGTTTGGCACTGAGTTAATATATTGTATTTGTAATTTCAATGAAGTAATAGCGAAGTAACAACACACCATTGCAAAGGATGGTTGACAAATTTAGACAGATTAGAACACGCTGACATTTGTATATCAGCTGCTCATGCTCAAGTTTGATTAAAATATGGTGCTATAATTTATGTTTAAATTTTTGTTTACTCCTCTCATTGTGAAGCTGGAAAGACGGCCTTGCACTCTGCGCGCTCATCCACAGACATCGACCTGACCTTATTGACTACTCCAAGTTACGGAAGGTCTTCTGTCTGATTGACAGCATGCTGATGTGCATTATATGTAGTTTATTTTTATTGCATGGTTGTGATTAAAAATAATTGTCCTTCATTAACTAAGATGGATGGCTCTGCATAC